GGAAATAATAATAGTTGATAAAAAAATAATAATCAATGGGTTTAAATTTCAAAGATAAAAGAGGGCTTTATTTAATATTTGTTGTGATATTTATTAATGCCGATGTATTTTCTGAACCTAGTGTATCACGTTACTCGGCTGTTAGTGTAGTGGCAGATAATAAACTTTATGTTCTTGGAGGTTATAGTTTAGAAACATCATCTATACTTGATTCAATGATTTATGTGGATTTAACTAATGATTTCAATGTTGACAGTGTGCAATGGATTCAAAGTACCAAAATTCCTGTAAAAAGTTCTTGGGGTGTAGCTGCAGCTGGCGGAACAAATAATTCAAAGATATTTTTGTTTGGTGGAGTTATGAAAGATTCAAGCACTGATTTATTTAACTTCACCAGTTTACTTTATACATATGATATAAATGCAAAAGTTTGGAGTGTTCCAACAACAACTGGCATTGCTCCCATCAACCGTAGAGAAAGTAGTGTTGTTGTGGATGAGAATGGGAAAATGTATATTTTTGGTGGAGGAGCAGATAGCTATACTGGGTCTTCTACTCTTACAGTATTTAATGAGATGCATACCTTGAATACAATAGATTTGGCTTGGGATCTAATCATTGCAACTAATCCACCATTACCAACTATTGACCTGACTTCAAATTTATTACCTGATGGTAGAATTGTATATATTGGTGGATCAGAAGCAACTGACGCTACAGGCAAAGTTAATAATGCCGTTGACATCTATAAAGTATGTATTTATTTATATATATATATATGAAAATTTTTAATTACACAATTTTTTTTAAAAAATAGGCATATATTTATGGTTAAATACATATGTTTATTTTATAGATAAGAATTTTTGATACAAAAAAATCAATTTGGTCAATCATGGTAAATATTCAATCAATTAAAATATGATGTTTACAAGATTATTTATGGGAAAAAACAATCAGTTCATTTTAATTTTTCTTACACCTCGATGAAAATTTTAGATGGCAAATGGTCCACCATCTATCCAATCTCGAACTGGTCATTCAGCTGTACTTTGTAATTGATTATTAATTATAATATATTTTCAATTTTAAATTTTTTAAAACCATACTAAATTTATATATATATATATATATATAATACATAGCAAAGGATGGGAAGATAATTGTTTATGGTGGTGCATTATTTATTACACCACCTACTACAGCATTTCCAGAACTTCTTGTACTGGACTCTACCACAAACCCTTTTCAATGGTCTACACCTAAATTTTCAGCTGTTAATCGTGCCCCACCTCTAATGTTTCATACCGCAAATTTAATTGGCAATCAAATGATAATAAGTTTTGGTAATTTTTTTTAAAAAAAATTTTTTATCCTTCAATCTTAAAATTAATAAATAAATGTATAAATGTGTATATATATATATATATATATATATATAGGAAATATCACAAATAATGATTCAGGTCCAAAATCAATTAATGCAAACACCTATATACTTGATATTGAAAATTATAGTTGGAAATCAAGTTATTCAGCATCTGAGGCACCACCACCATCACCATCATCATTAACATTATTACCATCATCATCATCATCATCATCATCATCATCACCATCATCACAACCACACACATCATCATCACAATCAGAAACATCATCACAAAACATGATTGATACATTAGTAATAATAATTGCAGTTATTGCTGTAATACTATTAGTTGCATTAACAACATTCATAATTGTAAAATTATATCGAAGGAGAAAAAATAGAATTCCAAGTAAAAATTTAGGAATGTCTAACGAACAACAACTTCAACAATACAGAAATTCTCTATATGATCCTGACTCTCAAACTTACCCTAATACCCTATCTTATCCTATTGTCCTACCCTATCCTAATACCGCCTATAATAATAATGCCGATGATGTTGATTCACACTTGAAATAATATTTTTTAAATAATAATTTTTATATTATACATCTATTGTTAAGATCCAAGGATTAAAGTTTCCTAATCTATTTTATTATTGATTATTATTTAAATTTCATGGATAATTAAGAGTTTGTAATACTATAATTTTGTGTATAAATAATGTAGATAAGTTTGACACTTGCTACAAAATAATTGGTTTTTTTATGAGCGCATAAAATACAATATATTTTGGGAGGAAAATAGAATTGATGTTAATTTATTTATTATTGTTTAAATGTTTAATTTATTTAGAATCATCTTTTATATATACTGAAAACGAAAGTCATTCATGTCTTTGATAAGCTTATTTAATGAATGAAGTAAAGAAACTGTCTAATGAAACTCGCAAATACATACTTTGCAAAACATTATACGAATACTTGAAAAGATTACGAATGCTCGCGTTAAAATCAACAGAAATCAATCTCGACGAATATCTAAAATTGTATAACACCGCTTTTGTTATTGTGTATATATTCTCTCCATGCAAAAATTCCTGATGAATTTTAAATGCGGTAAATAAATTATTTGATTGTCACAAGATCCAATCGCTAAAGAATATACATAAAAGAAGGAATATTATTATGGAAATTACAAAAATATCATTCACCGTGATATATATTCTTAAGTATATTGCAGACTTGGGATTATCAAACTTTAGCATCGAGTATTGCCTTACTCCAGAAGCGTTAAATGCTAAACCATATGCAATGAATGGCATAAAACATATATAGATTTAGTGCGATGATGTCTACAATCTCAAAAGGTCAACAGCTATTTAATAATATTACACATGATATCAGAACTTACAATCAAAATATGCGGAAGAGTAAGTAAGGCCACCACTTTAATTAATACACCAAAATTATATATTGAACTAGTCTATAAATACATGTATGCTGACCCAGATGTTAATGATGGTTCTAGATTTCATCAATTACAGTGAATGTTCATTCAAAATATTGTTTTTTTTAAAAATAAAAATTTATTATTTTATTAAAACAGGAAAACAAATAATCAACTCTCTAAAGACAAATAAATTATTTCTTTTTTCACACTAAAAAAACAAACTTTTAACGAATCGTTTTGACAGATAAAACAAAAAGATGTATTGAAAAAAAAAATTGTATAAATATTGATCACGTTACCAACATCATCCAAAAAAAATATTCATTCTAATACTACAAATATTTTCGTCAGAAATTTTCTATTAGATACAATAAATAACTAGTCATTTATAAATAATTTATCTTAAATTGCCCTCATTATTATTTCCATTGATATCATGATGAACAAAGTCATGATTGTATATTCTTTGAATGTGGTACTTGTGTGAGTAATCCCTTTTATTTAGACATAGTGTAAATTTGACTACAACTTTTTTAGTATTGACTATTTTTACTATTACTATATTGATTTTTCTTTTTTTTTTTTTGATAAGACCAGATTTGCGATTCAGTAACAGAGAACATTTTTTTCTTCGGATTATATAAAAGCGATGACCTTTTCCATTTTCTATTAATGCGAACCTATGGAGAGGCGGTCACACTTTTTTTTAAAGTATTTTCTAATCATTGTGTTGGCGGTCACATTCAATAGAGTTTTCCCGGTCCTATGTTAATACAATCATTTTAATTTCGTAAACATAAATTTTACCAAATTAGGAAACAAAAAGTGCAAAAGAGTCTAATTATCCGTTAATTATTTTTATTATTAGTTATAATAATCGAGTTAGCGTTGATATTAATATTAACATTAAATTTTTAACATTAAATTTTAACATTTAAATTAAGAATAGATGACAATGAAAAGTTGAAAAGTAAATAATATATTAGACTGTATAATGAAAAAAACAAACCCATGTATTAAAAACATTCAATAAAGAAATACTATATTAATTTTTTTATTTATTATAAACATCAATTCGAAACTAAATTTCCTTCCCTCCGGATATTAATATTTGTTTTTCTGGAAGGGAGATAATCAAATGTCCACTATGCTCTTGGACTCTATCAAAAAAAAATCTCTATACAACAACAAGTGTCAATAATAAATAATTAATGTGTACGCAAATCAATAATTCTTTTCTTTTGCGCTTTTAAAAATGCCAAAAGATCAAAAGGCAAATCAAAAAAGAAAAAAAAGAATTCGTTCCCGATATTTCTGGGTAAGTGTTTATAATAAGAATGGTGGTGGTGGTGGTTATCGCCACTTGTCGTCACTCTAGTTAAATATAATAATTGCAATCGTTCATTTTATAAAAAGTTTTACAAATCTTTCAATCATTTAAAGGAAAAACATCCAATATTGGTGTCTATAATTTCATTTTCACCGAGAAACATGACTGGTTTGTACAACCACCACCATTAAGACCAAACAGACAAAAGCGTGGTTGTCATGAATTTACTTCAAAAGTGATAACAACGATCAACCAGGTCCAGTAAAAATTTCAGTCTTAAATGAAGCTGGTAAATATGTGGCGATGTTTTTGATAACTCTACTGAAAATCAGATAAATTACAATTCATCCCAAATCCGAAATGGATTTAATAGTGAAACGTGACTAAAATTTTTGTGAATTTACCAAATTAAATATTTTCATAATTCACTAAATAGTATGTTAATATTAATATATTATTGTATTCAAAAGTTTGTTGTGTGTCATGCGCATCAGTTGTAATTTACTATTATTGGACATTTTCAAAAGTTTGCTTGAGTCAGCCTAAACCGTTAAATTCCGATGGATGATATTCGAATATTTAAAGGATTCATTTCAAAAAAAAAAATAAACAAAAATTCTTTATTAAAATTAGGTTAGGATATTGAAATTTTCTTTAAGAAAATTTTCAATATTTATTAGCAAATGAGCCTTTAAAAAAAATCATCTTTAAAATTTCCAAATGTTATTTACAAGATAAATATAATTCCAAATGACATTGTGACAATTATTAATGACAATCTAGATTTAAATTAAAAATGTCAATAAATATAGGTCAAAATAATTTTTTATATAATAATTATAATTATCAACGAGCGAATACATACAATAAATCTTTTGGCATTCGTAATTCATCATCAATTCCTTCATCCACAAAAATTACATTAGAATCGTGTTTGTTGTTATTAAAACCATAATCATTAACATAATATTCACTATCATCGTCATAATAATCGCTACATTCATGATCAGTCGATTCAGATTTTTGATTTAATAATTTTTCATTTCCTATTTGCAAGTTATGAAGTTCTGCTGATAATTCTTTGTTATTGATCAGTAATTTTATCATTGAATCCTTTAGACTAATTAGATACTTCAGTTCTTTATTTGCTTTGTTGATTGATTCGATACTTTCCAGTTCTATCTTTTTTGACTCCATATTTTTCTCAAATCTATCAAAAACATTTAATAATACAACAAAATCTTCATTTTTGTTATTTGAAGCGACGTTTATTGCTGATAGGTTTGTTGAATTATTGTTATTGTCATTGTTATTTTTGCTAACATTTGAATTGAAAAATTTTATTGACATCTCGTTAATTCTTTCTATCAATGTGCTATAATCTTCTTTCATCAAATCGTGATTCCTGACGTATGCGTTAAATTTAATCAACAAATAATCATACTCTTTTTCTATATTTAATAATAATTGCTGATAATTATTTATTTGTTCTTGATCTTGAAAGAAAATATCATTGTCTAATTTCTTCATAGTATGATCTAGATCTTGTTGAGCAAGTAAAGCTTTTGATGGATTAAACTAAAAGAAACAAATAAAAATATATTTAATATAATACCAATAAATAATTATTTGTAATAAACATTGCAGGAGTTTTACCAAATCGCCAACATCTTCATCATCATCAACATCATCATCATCAACAGTTTCATCACCAGAATCATTATTAGAACCATCATTATTAGTATTCGTGTTGTAATCTTCAAGTCCGTCGTTGATAAATGAATCTTCTTTTGCTAGTCTCTATCATTATTTATTTATTTATTTATATAAAGAAAAATAATTAATTTCCATCTTACAAATTAATTCAAATCAATTTGCATTACCTTTACTGAACCATAAATTTCGTCACTATACAAATTATCAAAAATAGACAAATTTTATTTAATAATAGTTGTCATTATAAAAACATATATATATATGTTAATTATTTAAAAGATGTACATACATTCTTTCTTTGTAGTTATTGCGACCATTAGTGTCAATAAAAGGATTACCAAATATTTTCATTGGATCTTGTTCATTTTTTATAACATCCTAATTATTTTTATTATTAATTAATCAATATTAATCATTATAAAACATAGAAAAGTCAATTAAATTAACAAAGTTTTTATTTATAATACTTTATTCCATTTTTTAGTCTCAAGAATATCATTTCCTCCCATTCCACTATTCATTCCTTCTACATTAACATCACATCCCTCAAGCCAATTAATAATATCATCATCGTTCTTGTGTGAAACTGAATTTTTAAGTACAGTATTAGATAATTGTTCCAAAGCATAACTGACTGAAGTTATTTGATTAAAAGGTTTAAATGTGGAAGGTTGTGAGTGAAAGACATTAGACGAAGTTGTAGTAAATTCTTTTGGTGATGGTAAAAGTGCATTAGTAAATGTATCTAAAATTTCTGGGCCATTTGACATAGACGACAAGCGTCTCATGGGAGAAATGTCCAGAGACATTGTGTAAAATTAACTTATTTTAAAAAAAAAAACCAAATTTTTTTTTAAAATAATAATTTCGCGAACAATTTGAAAATTACGTCATACGTGTTCAATTTATATTTATATTTAAAAAAAATTCAGAACAACGTTATTGTACACAGATACATCATGCTTTTAATTTATTTATATTTATTCAAAAGTTAAAAGTCAAACTTTGTAAAACACGACTTTAAAGAATTCAGGAAATCTTAAGAGCATTTGATTCAACTTTAAAACATTTTTCATATTTACGCAAATTTACAATTTATTATAGGCAATAATTGTATATTCGACATATATACACCCATTTACACTTGGTAATTCTCTTGCAGAACGAATAATTATTCCTTAATTGTAACAAAAGAAACTTATTTTTTATTTTAATTCAACTGATATATGGAAAAATATAGAATAATTTATAGAAAAAAATTGAAAGTTAAGAATTGTCAGAGAACTTGCATGGGAGGAAAATGCTCAGACCCTAAGCCATTGTGTGCATTACCTATTCTTTGGACACTCACTACTATTACTGTTATTATTTTATTATTACTATCAATAATAGTAATAATAATAATAATATTTATATCCTCGTTTTTTTCATTATCTTCACTTTCCATCTCTTTTTTCTTCTCCTTGTCAACCTATTGTTGGTTTCTTCTATTGTTTTCCTTCCTTCTACAATTAGTTTGATGGTGAAGGCAACAATATCTTTTCCCTTTTCATGTAATCCACGAATTTCAATGGCCACTTCACTAAACGAAAAATTGGAATTCAATCCAGTCTTTTTATCAAATAATTGCTCGAAATCCTTTGGTCTTTTGTGAATATTTTTATCACCAATAAGTTTGCTTGATTTATTCATCAATTTTTGATTTACAATATAGTGTTGATTTTTGTAAGCTTGATAGTGAGGCAGGAGAAACCTGCAAAAAAGTTGGCTATTGAAAGAAAGCGATTTTTATTAATCTTTTTTTTAAAAATGCAGATTTGACAGAACTTGAATGTGGAAAATTTTTAATTAGTGGTAGGAAAATTCCTCAAAATCTCTAAAAGCACGGTTTAAAATCAATTTTCACGTTATAAAAATGTTAAAAGTGTTCACGATTTGCTAGACCAAAAAATTTGGATGATGTTGACAAAAAAAAATTTTAACAATAGTTCTGCAACGAGATCAAAATAAAATTTACTGAAGTTGGTAGCAAAGATATTAGCGCGAGAACTGTTCGTAGACATTTGCATGAACTTGAGATATTTTCAAGGGTTGCTGTGTTAAACAGCTTCTAACACAAAAACAAAAAAAAAGTAGTGTCTGAAAAGGAGAGAAAAGTGATTTGGAGCGGTGAATCACGTTTTACAACCTTCAGAAGTGATAGTCCAAGTCATGTTTGGCGTTCCACTGGTCAACGTTACAATATCGAAGATATTGTCCCTTCTGTTAAACATGATGATATAGGATAATGGTTTGGGATGCTTTTCTGGAAAGGGTTTATGGCCACTAATAAAAGTGGAGGGTAAAATGATCCGTTTAGATTGCGTACAGATTCTAGAAAAAACTTTGTTGTCTTTAATTGGAAGAAAATTTCGTGGTGAAAATTATGCGTTTCATAAACTAGATCAAGAAGGAAAAAATACTGATTTACCCTCTCAATCCCCTGTTTTCGATCAAATAGAACATCTGTGGGACGAATCTGAGAGGAGATTAAAAAAATCAGCAAAAACATCCAAAAATGCTTCAGAGTTGGAGTGTGAATTTAAAGAAAAACTAGCGAGCATTCCTTTTGAAAGCACGCCTAGAAGGATCAAGGGATGCATAGAAAAGATGGAAGCCTTACTCGTTATTAATTTTTAAATTTTCATTTTAATAATAATAAGTTTTTAGTCGGGATTCTTTTTTTTTGTAAATATATGAATATGAATATATAAAGCCACAAACTAGTAGCGGAAACAATGCTAATAACAGTTATAATAATAAATTAAATTATCTTAGCACAGTAACATCGTTGCAAACAGTGTTATCCTACCAAAATTTATTTATCATTTCCTGCTCGTGTCATTTTTTTTTTGTTTTGACATGTAAAAATACTATTTTCTTTTACCAATTAATTTTAGATGAAGAACCCGAGATAAGAAAACACTGGACGTTCATTATTTTACTACAACTAGTTTTATTAGAATCATTACTTGTATGATTCTGAATAAGATACTGTGTGTTATTTAATAATAACCAGAGATGTCATTTGTATTTAATGATACCTTATATTGGTAACTCGCTTGTCTGAAGCTTCAACTTGTCCAAAGCTCTTTAACCGTAGAAAAAAATTCTATGGCGACAAAAAGAGCATTTACATACTCATAGTAGAAATACAGATTTTTGTATTATTATTCCAACGATGAGATCTTTCGAAGTGAGCTTGAAATAGTTATTTGCCCCAAAAAAAAAATTCCAATTCATCTTATTGTATTTTTTTCGAGCAAAGAAAGAAAGTGAAAATTTTAAGATTTAATTAACTTTATACTCGGCAATATCTAAAAGATAAAACAGATCCAGAGTATCTGTTTATTATAAATAAACCTATACAACAAGATGATAACAGAGTAATTTCGAATTCAAAAAATCGAAAGTACAAAGCATAATGATAAAAACATGATAGAAACAAACCATTTCCCAAGAAAAGTAAAAGTTTGGTTAGTAAGTTGCACTAGTCAGAAATGGTACAAATGTCGAGGAAAAGGAAAATCAGGATACCCAGTTTATAAAGAAATTCGAATTCCAAGTGTTAAAGAATATTCGGTCCCGTTTACTTCGTCGACAATCATTTCGTCGACACCCATTTCGTCGAAAGTTCATTTCGTCGACAATCACTTCGTCGACACCCATTTCGTCGGCTTATGTATCGTACTAATGATAAATGAGGTGATGATAGTGATGGCAACAATATCGACATTGAATAT